AGTGATGATTGAACCTCCACTGTGTGCACAGCCCTGTGCTAGGCACTAGGAGAACAGAGATGAAACTGGTTCCATGTCCAAGCTCATTTAGTATTCCATACTAGGATTTATTTTGTTTTATTTTATTTTATTTTATTTTATTTTATTTTATTTTAAGTAACCTCTACACCCAATATGGGCTCAAATTCATGACCCCGAGATCAAGAGTTGCATGTTCTACCAACCGAACCAGCCAGGCACTCCCCATACCAAGATTTCTAATTAATTGGGCATCAATTGGGTGACAGGACCCCCCCTGTCAAAGAGCTGGGGCACAGGGCCAGACTCCAGTCAGAGATGGAGGCCTCAAAACTCTCACAGGGAAATGATACAACACAGGCAGAGTGAGAAAAGTTGAGACCAGCTGCTTAAAAATCCTGCTTGGGCCTTTAAATCTCTAGTCTGGATGGGTGGCTTAATTCTAAACCTCTCTAAACCTCACAGGACAAGATTTGGGGCCTGGCCTGCAGATGGGTGGGAGGAGTCTCATTTGTGGTGTGGGAGCTCAGGAAGCAAAGGCAAGGGGTGTGGGGTGGATTAAATACTGTTGAAGTGTTTCATAGGTCCAAAAAACTTCTGCATAGATAGTGCGAATTGATGATTTCTCTCAGTAGTGCCTAAAATTCCCAGTGTTATGTGTTCACTCACTCATCCATCTCTTCATTCATTTATATATTAATTCATTCATCCACTCACTCATTTATGAACTGAAGAACTTTTAGAAAGAACTCTTACCAGAGCTCGTAGGAAGAAATATTTTTTTTTTTTATAAATTTTTTTTCAATGTTTATTTATTTTTGGGACAGAGAGAGACAGAGCATGAACGGGGGAGGGGCAGAGAGAGAGGGAGATACAGAATCGGAAACAGGCTCCAGGCTCTGAGCCATCAACCCAGAGCCCGACGCGGGACTCGAACTCCCGGACCGCGAGATCGTGACCTGGCTGAAGTCGGACGCTTAACCGACTGCACCACCCAGGCGCCCCGTAGGAAGAAATATTGTATGTGGTCAGAAAGGATACTCTGATAAGCTGCTTGAGGTGAAGAGTAAGACACCCAAAGATCATGCTCAATAAACAGGAGTTGGAGATTTATATGCTCCCCAAGGATAGTGGGTGTAGTAAGTACAGATTTTTTTGCTGAGTAAAGTTGTGCAAGTCTAGACCAGAGCTGAATTGCTGAGGACATGGAGAAAATGAGGTAACAGATAACTGTTGTCTTTGATTTCTCATCACTTCACCTCCAATTCATCACCAAGCCCTATATAACTCATCTCTTAAATACCTCTTGAATCTGTTTGACTTCATTCTCATTGCTACCACTCTAGTTTAAATCCTATTGGGACTTACTTGAACCACTGCAAAGATCTTCTAACTAGCCTTCCTGCTTTCCATCTCTTCTTCCAGTCCATTCCCCACATCACAGCCAGAGTGATCTTTCTAAATAAAGTTCAGATCTAATTATGTTAATCCCCTGCCTCAAAATCTTTTATTTTAAAAGATAAAGTCCAAGGGCACCTGAGTGGCTCAGTTGGTTAAGCATCTGCCTTCGGCTCAGGTCATGATCTCATGGTTCATGAGTCTGAGCCCCAAGTCTGGCTCTCTGCTGTCAGCACGGAGCCCACTTCAGATCCTCTGTCTCCCTTTCTCCCTGTCCCTTCCCTGTGCTCTCCCTCTCTTGTCTCTTAAAAATAAATAAATAAACTTAAAAAAAAAGATAAAGTCCAAACCCCATAGCACAACATTTAAAGCTCTTTCTAGCTTCAGCACTTATCCATTACCCATTTCCCATTTCTTACCATTCCTTAAGTTCTTTTGGAGTACTCAATGGCAAAAACTCTTCTTTTGCCAAAATACTTTTCCCTCACTTCACTGCTTGGAAAATTCTTCTTTAGAAAAGTCCCTGATGGGGTGCCTGGGTGGCTCAGTTGGTTAGGTGTCCAACTCTTGATTTCAGCTCAGGTAATGATCCCATGGTTGTGGGATCGAGCCTGGCATTGGGCTCTGTGCTGAGCATGGAGCTGGCTTAGGATTTTCTCTGTCTCTCTCTTTCTCTCTTTCTCTTTCCTTCTGTCCCTCTCCCCTGCTTGCTCACTCAGTTGCTCTCTCTCTTCCTCAAATAAAAAGAAAGTCCCTGTTATCCTCCTACTATTGTCAAATAAGCACATCTTCAGGCCAATGCTTCTGGACTTGGTACAGATTCCATTAGTGGGAGTTACGCTGTCTACCACGTTTATGATTCTCCTCGTGGGCATATTATAAGATTGCATTTTTTTGGATGTGGGTGTGTGACTTGCTTTGGCTAGTGAAGTGGGAGAAGTAGAAGTTTTAAGAGCCAAAATATGACTCACACACTTCTCCCCCCTCTGGTAGCTGCCCTGTCAGCTACGGAAGACAAAAAGCAGAGCACCCAGCCAACTGTTAATAGATATGTAGCAATAGTGAAAAATAAAACCTCGTTTAAGCTGCTGAAATTTGGGGATTGCTTTGCTACTAAATAACTCAGTATATCCTAACTGATACACTATCTCTGCTTTGACAGCTTCTATAATTACCCCAAACCACCATGTTTCTACCTTACCTGACTTGTGTGACACATTTTCTTTTTTTTTTTTTTAAGTTTGTTTATTTTGAGAGAGAAAGAGAAAGAGAGAGAGCATGTGTACCACAAGGTGGGAGGCGCAGGGAGAGAGGGAGAGGGAGAATCCCAAGCAGGCTCTGCACTGCCAGTGCAAGCCTGACGCATTTTCTTTATACTGCTTATCTGGAACTAATGACATATTGCCACATACTGCTAGTTATCAGTCTAATGCTCCCCATTAGCATTAGCTACCTCTGCACTTTTACTGAGACTTCCTCAAGTTAGGGATAGTGCCTTGTCCATTTTTATATCACACAAAGTATGGTCCATGGCTAAGGTATAAATTGTAATGAGTGTAGGAGTCAGACTTATTTTTTTTAATGTTTATTTGTTTTTGAGAGAGCGCAAGCGGGGGAGGGGCAGAGAGAGTAGGGAACAGAGGATCCAAAGGGGGCTCTGCGCTGACAGTAGTAAGCCTGATGTGGGGCTCAAACTCACAAACCGCGAGATCATGACTTGAACTGAAGTTGGATGCTCAACCAACTGAGCTGGAGCTCATCCAACCCAGGTACCCCTCAGATAGATTTATTTTGAGTTCTAATTCTGATACTTAGCGGCAATCTTCTTAAGCCTCAGTTTCCTTATCTGGAATAAAATAGAGTAATCATATATATCCTACAGAGTTTTTCTGAAGTGTGTGGATAACAGGTGCAGCATATACACAAATAATGGCATACTGGAATTATTGTCCCCTTATTTTATTATCATTATAGATTGTGTTCAGTAAATACTTGTGGATAAATCCTCCATTGATTGGAGTTTAGTGGTATGTGCGTTGGACTTGGAATCAGAAGTCCTGGATTTAAGGCATAGCTTTTGTCTCCAGCTTTGTGACCTTAGGAAAGTCACTTACCCTGCCTGCATTTTTGCATTCTCAACTATAAAATGTAAATGCTAGTGAATAGACATTTCTCCAAAGAAGACATCCAGATGGCTAACAGACACATGAAAAAATGCTCAACATCTCTCATCATCAGGGAAATACAAATCAAAACCACAACGAGATACCACGTCACACCAGTCAGAATGGGTAACATTAACAACTCAGGCAACAACAGATGTTGACAAGGATGTGGAGAAAGAGGATCTCTTTTGCACTGCTGATGGGAATGCAAACTGGTGCATCCACTCTAGAAAACAGTATGGAGATTCCCCAAAATATTAAAACTAGAACTACTCTACGACCCAGCAATTGCACTAGTAGGTATTTATCCAAGGGATACAGGAGTGCTGTTTCAAAGGTGCACACGCACCCCAGTGTTTATAGCAGCACTATCGACAATAGCCAAAATATGTAAAGAGCCCAAATGTCCATCGATGGATGAATGGATAAAGAAGATGTGGTGTATATATATACAATGGAGTATTACTCAACAATCAAAAAAAAAAAA